TGCAGTTGAATCATGAAGGTATCAAACTGAGGCACGAAGGTTTCAAAATTGCAAATCACAGAGTATAGTAGTATAGTTGATTTAGTCGACTCTACAACTCAACTTAACGTTATAGGGTATAAGAATATTCCGGTGGTAAGCACACTACAAAATTTACGTTTTCAAATGCCTGAAATGTCTTAATATCCGCCCCGATTTACTAAACCTGCTCTGTTTCATGTCTGTGGACAATTTTTCTCTGTTATTATTATGCTTCAGCTGTTGCTGTCGTCGCCTTTTATAACAAACGGCCGCTAGAGTCGCGAATGAACGAAACATCGTAAGTACAAGCGTACAAACGATCACGAACGGAAGTCGCTCGCGTTGTCGTTACGTTATTAAATAACGTGCACGAAAGGGAAGTGTGTAACCGAATGGAAAGGAATCCATTGTAACGGAAAGTTTACAAGGCAAATCATACAAAAGGGGTAGTGGAGTAGTGTTGTCGATAACGGAGCCCTGCATGCGCTCCATTACAACCACGCTGAATATAAATTGCTCCGTCGGTTTGGTGGTGGGAGGTGTAAATGGCGGCTAGTCGTTGATCAAAGGGGGGGGGGGCGAGAGCGAGATTGTGCGGTGGCTTTAAAACGGTGGAGTACGGAAGCGACTAAGAGAAGTGACAGAGACCCGATATCTCCGACCGATATTTCTATTTGTAGCGTCGTAGACTGTGAGGGGTTATTAACAGGGGTACCCTCAACCCTTCCGCAAACGATCGGAAACTGTATGACGTATTAATGACTGATGGTTACGACCACGATAAAAAGCCAAACGATCTCATCTGCCGTAGAATATGAAGCAAGCCAATAACCCAGCAGTCTCAAAAGCTTAAAGAGATATAAATGTCATAAAGGTGAAGTACAAAACCCAGAGGATATGAGATAAACAGTAAAAATTAAACAAACAAACAAATTCGAAGTGGTCAGTGTTCTACCAGACGCGGATCGCGATTTCGATTTTTTGGATCTCATCAACGCGTCTCAGACACAGACCAATGTTTACCTGCTGTCTTAACAGCGCGTTTTAAAATATACCACAAATGGCGCGGTAAACGCCACCTGTAGTAAGTCCATTTAAACAGGTGGATATCTACTTACTGAACTGAAGCTTCGGCGTAGCTCGTCACTACGTGATAGGCACGTTACCAAAATCGAACAAACAAATTCTGTCGAAACTGCCAGACGCGGATCGCGATTTCGATTATTTTGGATCTCATCAGCGGGTTGCAGACAATTTCGACAGGACAGAGACCAGCGTTTTATAAAATACCATAAATGGCGCGGTAAACGCCATAGATATCCATCTATTTAAATGTACCTTATTGAGCATAATGAATTCCACTAAATGTAGCATTGTACTACAGATGGCGTTTACCGCTCAATTTGTGGCATTTTATTTTAGTAAAAATTAGTCGAATATAATTTCCAATTACTGGAGTTTTTGATTTTTCTAAACAAATATAACCATACTTTTGGCTAGGAATTGAATGATTATGGACCTCTCCTTTCATTCAAACATTTCAATCAAACACAAAGGTAACTCGATATTAATGAATAAGTAGTTCATTAAAAGATAAAAGTGGTCTATATAAGAACAAAGGCTTTAACGGCCGGAATCCATAGTAGACTGAAGATTCGGGCTATATGGCCGTGGTCTAAGTGAACTATTGTGTCCATACGTTTCGTTAGCTACTGCGGCTGACATCCTCAGTGGTAGTGCTGCGACCGGGTCGCTGTCGGGCTTCGAGATATAATCTACGTTCACGTTGTCAACGCAGCACTACCACTGAGGATGTCAGCCGTAGTAGCTGACGAAACGTCTGGACACAATAGTACGCTTAGACCACGGCCCTATAGTCCGAATCATTATTCGACTAAAGTGGTATGTGTTAATTGTTTATTTCTGTTCTTATTGGAGTACTGTTAATAAATAGTTAAACACGTAGGATTCTAGTTTTAGAGAAATTCGAAAATTCGCTCAAGATGGGGATGAGTGTAGGTGCGTGTCCAACCAGTTTTAGAACTGACGACTTCAATGGTGATGCTTTCTCCTTTATTATTTTCTTGGGTATCTACAAATCGATTATCTACATAATTTCGTTAACTGGAGAAACACGTAAACAGCAAGCTGACTGTACCACCCCTCTCGATATTTTGCCAAACTGTCTTGTTAATTTTCGAAGCGACGACGGAAAAAGTTGGTAAAATCAATTTCTAAATGCATAGCATCGTCGCCTGTCGCATAACTTTATTCTAATTCAATCAACCGCTGTTTGCTCACGGTGTATATTGGAAAGAAAATTGGGTGGGTAACTTCTGGAAATGGCACGGCGGAATTCTTTCAAATCCTTGCTCGATGTCGTTTCTTGTTTACCTTTTTACTGTCGCAGATTGATTTAAATCATAGATTCTGAAGAAGGGCTTTAAATGACACATAGCTCAAAATAATGAGAAGATGCTCTACCGTTTCATGCTTTCGTCTTAAGACTGGTTAGATACGCAATTCCACTCTTTCCTATCTGCGCATTTCCCTAAAACTAGAACATACCACATCCTTAACTATTCCATCATCATAAGGTCCTCAGTTCTAAGACTGGTTGGACATGTACCTGCATTCTTCCCAATCTTGAGCTAATCTTCAAATTTCCCTAAAACTAGAACATCCCACATCCTTAACTATTTCATCAACATAAGGTCCAAAGTTCTAAGACTGGTTGGACATGTATCTGCACTCTTCCCAATTTTGAGCTAATCTTCAAATTTCCCTAAAACTAGAACATCCCACATCCTTAACTATTCCATCATCATAAGGTCCTCAGTTCTAAGACTGGTTGGACATGTACCTGCACTCTTCCCAATCTTGAGCTAATCTTCAAATTTCCCTAAAACTAGAACAAATCACATCCTTAACTATTTCATCAACATAAGGTCCTCAGTTCTAAGACTGGTTGGACATGTACCTGCACTCTTCCCAATCTTGAGCTAATCTTCAAATTTCCCTAAAACTAGAACATCCCACATCCTTAACTATTTCATCATCATAAGGTCCAAAGTTCTAAGACTGGTTGGACATGTATCTGCACTCTTCCCAATCTTGAGCTAATCTTCAAATTTCCCTAAAACTAGAACATCCCACATTCTTAACTATTTCATTATCATAAGGTCGTCAGTCCTAACACTGGTTGGGCAGGCGCCTTCACTTTTTCCAATCCTAAGCTAATCTTCGCATTTACCTAAAATTAGGAACAACCCACATCCTTAACCAGCTTTCGTATATAGTGCCACAAATACAAGATATGTTGATTGAATATTTACTCCTCTACGTTGTTGCCCAAATTTTATTAACTACCTATTGCTTCTTATATTATCCTTCAATCCCTACCTTTCGTTCTTATAGTTTTATGTATGTGTATGTAAATTGCAGCATGAACTTCCGAATGTTGGGAGTCCAAATCTGGGTTCGGATACTTGTAAGATGTATCGGGATATAGAAACCAGATGGAATTTACGGATATTTTTGGTTGCAAAATGTATCCTAAGTATCTATAACCGGTTACTTTTTATTTTTTCCCATTGCACCTTCATGTGTGATCACCATGTCAGCATACTCTGGGTGCGAATACGTTATTTTTTACTTGATATTTTCACAGTTACCTTATTTTTGTATTTTATGATAATAATAGTAACTTTGGCAATCAAATAGTAACATGTCTGTGTGCCAGCTATTGTGAAGGTCACAAATAGGTATAAGTGTTTCATCACTTGACGCTTACGATAACTGGCAACTGTTCTCAATCATCTATGACTCGTTAACTGGGGTACTTCTTGTGCATACTTTTTACACTTACGGTACTACCAGATCAGACATAGTGTAGATTTAGGTTTCGATCCCGTCAATGCAACCCCGCAGTAGACATCTCAATCTCACGAATTATATTTGTGAGTGTTAAATTGGAAGTATACAAGTATATCTCTCCCTTTAGCCACGAATGAAATCTGACTGTGTCTCTACAATATAGCACAATGCAGAAAGCGTTATTTTCAGTTCAATTTGCATAGAGCACGATGTGCTCAAAATCCGTGACTGCCTGTGATTTGGAATTCTATCCACATTTCTACACAAAAGATTTTAAATTGCAAAACAGTTTTGTAAAATTAAGTGTGTGCGAAGGTGTTAAGGTACATTTGTGGTAATGGAATTTAAAGCAGAAAGGAATTATGACAAGTAAGCAAAAATTAAATAGATTCCACTTAGTTTCTACTCCTTTTATAGCTCCACATACATAATTAAAAACAAAAACAGCAAAACTTTTGCATGTGTTAGTCTATACCATGTATTTTTTCTACGTTGTTGAATGTGCTTATCGTATTTAATTCAGTTGAAAAAAATATTCTTAGTTTAATTGCTAAAGAAAGCTGCTGAAATGGTATGAGGTCAAGAGGTCCTGGTCCAAATGTCCATGTCAGTGATTCCTGATTTTCTTCAGTGGTTGAATCCAAATCGTACCCCTCTTTCCTCTGACTAACTTATTTTTTCTGATTAATATTAATTAATTCACACTACAATGATCAATTAATCACTATCTCAGTCTTAAACAGCTTCCTCATTCTTTTAATTCGTCTTTAAACACCTCTTAACTGGAACTACCGCCGCCGATCTTGCGGCAGCTATTTATATCAGCTGGATTTGTTCTAGAAAGGTTTACTCCAGTATACAAGTTGTAGACAATTCTGGTCCCTCTTGTTATACCAGCGCAATCTCGGCAGCCACGTACGATGGGTTGCCTACACCTGACAATATTATTCCGTATGACAAACAATGTAAACAAATTAGCGGACGTTAGGTGGTTTTAAGTAAATTATATTGAAACCACCTTAGTGTTCTATTCCGTTATTACTACTACCTTTAATTCTTCGTCGTTTGGTAATCACTTAATCCTTTTGTTTTGTTCATTTCAGTTGTCGATTGCGAGGTGACGCCATGGGGTCCATGGTCGTCGTGCGACACGGATTGCGGTCCGGGAACGATGACCCGTACGCGATCGGTCAGGACCCAACCCCGTAACGGCGGCCGACACTGTCCGAGTTTGCAGCAACGACGGGGGTGCCATCAATTTGACTGTCATCACCACCAGGACGCTGCCATTAAAGGTCAGTACGACATTATTTCTAGATAGACGTAATGAAACCGAGATTTGGTCCATGTGCTATCGCGAATATAGCAATGGCTGTACCGAAAAACAAGCCGTGCATCACAGAAAACTTAACGGAATCAATACTAACAACAATAATACATTGTGTTGTTATTCTAAGTAATCTGATAAATACTGACCGAAATTAGCAACAGTAAATGTTGAATTCGTCCCTTGAAGTATAAAAAAATACGTTCCATCTTATTTACTTGTTCTAATATAAAGCATCATGAAAGAGAATACGTCTCGTAAATATTTTGATAATGTTAGCAAAAGAGAGGACATGATCAATTGTCAACCGGTAGTTTCACCTTAAGCTTCTAACGATGAGTACAGTAAAAATTCCTTATTCACGGTTTCCTTATTCGCGTTTTCATTATTCGCGGGTGAAAAAATTGTAACTCAGATCCTGTATTCGCGACTAAAAATTTCATTATTCGCGGATGCAATCGGTAAACAGAAAAGAATTCGGTGTCATTTATTAAGGAGAGCTACCGCAATAGACCGCTCGTTCCTAGTGTGAATTTTTCCGAAAACATGGGTTTCTATTCTAAACATTGTGATTTAATGCTGCGAGATAAATATCTAATTTTTTGTATGGTAACAGACAAAAGTTAACACTAACTCGACACGTTTTCAATTTTCAATAATATGGTCATCAAAAGCTTTTACAAGTGCTTAAAGTTGGTGCATCTTGTAGGGCACGTATTTTCAATAGAAATTAAAAAATTAAAACATGGCCTTCGACAAGCTTTAGAGCAAAGCTTTATCTATATTACTACAAAATTTCAAACCTCTGTTCCAAACATTAAACTCATGATATCTAGAACCGATAAGCATGTTTTTACCCTACGGCGCGTGTACTACTGAATCCCCTTAATGTATCGGCATTTTTTGAGTATGTACAGTTGGTACATGCCGAAGCGGCTTTTTACAAAAAACCTAACCGAGTATAAAAGGATTCGGTGTTATTTTTCAACGTATCAGCATCTTTTGAGTACTATTGGCTCGTGCCGAGGCGACTTTTATAAAGGATGTAACCGAGTGGACTAATTTCAAAATTCAAAACAAGAAAAATCACTAAATTTTCTAAACTCTTGTCTGATTTTAATTGCGAATTTATCAATACATTGATTTTATTTTGATACATATTGGTTTTATTTTGGAACCTTAGAACGTTTCACCTATGCTTCCATACTAATTACGTAATTACCATTCCATATCCACGGTTTCTGTATTAGCGGCATATTTATGGAACGTATACCTCGAGAATAAAGAGTTTTTACTGTATTTCTATTATTCCAGACTCATACCTTCAAACTCAAAATTGATAGGCGGTTACATTTGACCATGTTCCATTACAAACGTCAAATGTTAAACGTCATCTTTGATTACTGCAAGCATGTAGGTATATTAAATACACCCTTGCTTATACGCGTATATGTGTTGATATACACATGAGACGCATATACATGCGTATTAATATCAATTGGCATTTTAGCTTGCCAATAATCGGGTACTTCAATTACAAATCCAGTAACATGTACATGCAGCATGATGATGGCTGTTGACTGGGGAATATGTAGTAGCAATGCATAGCTGATAGGAATAGATTATAAATTGATATGACACGTACAACGGTTTGCATACATGAATATGTATGAGACTGCTTTTTTTCTGTCACTTCGTACTTTTAAATTTACACCAACATTGCTAACAATGCGAACACGTTATTCTTAAATTCGTAGGATGGTCGTAGGTAATTGGACAATGGGTTATATTTTGTATATTCAGATGATGATGATGTCAGTATACCAAAATATGTAGTTACAGTCCATTTCAATTTGTTACAATTGTGACCCTTGAAAAAATCTGCGCGAAGATAAAAAGAATACAAACTAGACGTGAGCAAGACAGAAGTAGGTGGAACAAGCTTGAACGAGCAGACCTCTCGATGGACGGTCTTAGGAGATCGGCTAGAACTGTACAGTACTAGACGAAAATGTTTAGCAATTTCTTAAAACAAATATGTATATAAATTAACAATAGAAAACAAAGCAAAAGTTTTATAGGTGTGTAGAACGTTAAGTTAATTCACTTGTTATTATTTTTGGCTAAATATGCTTTTAAATGAAGCATATTCTTAAATTCGAACGAGGCAGTTTAAATAATTTTGCAAATGGTACTGTACAGTTTTGTCTAGTTCTCGCTCGATGATCGGTGGAGAAATGAGCTCCGCAGACAAATATGACTGAATTTGGAATTATGCTACGGCGCATGCTAATAAAGGGAAGGGACATGTCTCTAACTTCATGAAACGAACAGTACCTGTGGGTATATATTGTGGGTGACCACTAGTGATAAAGAAAACTGTTTAAACATATTTATTGTCGTTATTACAAAAAAGAAACTGTTCTAGTGGAACAATGACTCCCCAAGATTAGTATATGTATTAAAATTGATATTTAGCAGTTACTTTTCATGGGATATAGTTTATAGGAAATTAGAAACAATAAATGGAATTGTACTGAAATGCTATTTCGGTTTATCAGGACAGTTTTTAAATCTTCAAGTCACACAACGACCATCTTGTCACTGAATTAGGCCTTTACTGCCTCATGAGATGCTTCCATGTCAAAAAGCATTCTATCAGTTGTTCTCATAATATAGTAGTTAGTCCCAAATGGTTGGACACGTATCTCTAGTCCTTCCTGCCTTTTTCCCGAAAACTAAAACATCACGTATCTGTAACTTCATATTTGCGAACCATAATCTAATCTAAATCTTCCTCTGTCATTCTCTTTACTCTTGCTTTTGCTTCTAATATGTTTTTAACTAGCCCTTCATGTCTCAAAAGATGTCCTACCATCCAATCTCTCTCGTTTTCTTTACAGTTGCCATGGCCCCCTCTTTTGACTATTTCTAATACCTCCTTATTTCCTAAATGGTTCTAATTTTCTCTGTTCCGCATGTCGTCACGTTTTGTATCTGTGCAGAAGCGTACTCCATAGGTACACTTTTCAAATTTCCGACTTAACACGAACGCAAAATAGACTTCTTTTTGTTAAATGATAAACAATCAGACGCATTGCAGGGGTATCTTAATATTTGTGTAAAATGTTATACATCGTACATAGTTACGTAATGTTCGTGCTTATCAGAATTTCGATTGAAGCGAACGACTTAAACGGCTGCGGTTTAAAGGTAAGCGCACACAAATACGTCGGAATCGGACGGATTGTTTTTTTTTATGTTTTCGTGGAAGAGGGGAAATCTTCAAAAGACACCCAGCCGACCGTACGACTGGGTAGTGTCGGATTCCCGAGGAAGAAGTCCTCGGACCTACCGACTAAATTTCTCTACCTCAAGCCGTTCTAGGACCAACTAGGGTCCTCTTCAGCCGAATCGGACGGACGGAACGGCACATTTATGAGGACGGGGCATTTCTAAAATTCGTCTTGACTCCAAGGATCAGAATTAAAATCGGCCCACTGTGTACCATGCGTGCCGATGCGATAAATGTGCGATACCTGTTGTAATTATTCTGATGGATCATGGATTAGGCACATATATTACCTGCAAGTAATCGTACAGCATCTTTATCATATAGTCGCAGTATTTTTGTATTTATACATTAGTCATCCCTATTCGCATATGATTAAGCTTTCCCATTTTTTTATTTTTTTTTGTACAGATTAATTTTTGGATTTTATTTGTTCTTCAAAGTAGTTTAGTCACTGTTTGTGCTTTATCTATAATACAGCCTAGGTCTGTTCCTTCTGTAACTGAAAGGGAAATCACCACGCCTCCTGTCGCGGCTGTCCCAAAGTTTCAAAGAGAACAGTACCCCCCCCCAGCCATTATCTCCACCCAACACTCCGACTGTTCTAAAAACCGTGTAATCAGCAGCTTTCTCCTCTCTCTCTGCAACTTCTACTCTAGAACAGAGAATCCAAGACATCGTTCAGTCTAGTCACCGTCCTACAAACACCCACCAATGTATAATACAGCCCATCCAAGTAAGCTTCGTATATATACTTGAAATGTTCAAAGCCTTAGAGGCAAACTGACTGAACTCCTTCCTCCTGAAACTTCATCGAGGAAAACTCGATCGGTGTTACTTTCATCACCGAAACTCGTCTCACAAAGTCAAATTTTTCGTCCCGAACTTCTCATTCAACATAAGGGGTCGTGAAAGCGTTGGTGTCTCTGGTGTAGCCATCTTATTTGTCCATAAATTCCATAGAAGCAGTCGGCATCGAAGTCTCACTAACATCCGGTCCTCTTAGGATCATCTCCCTATACCCTGTCCCTTTGGATCAAAACCTTTCTGAATTCCCCCTCCTCCTCCCCCCAGGTATTTCGATTATCGTCGCAGGTACTATCAATGCTAAATACCTCTCTTTAGGTTGTCGACAAACCAACAAAAAAGACGTCTTCCTTCAACCTCACAGTTGAAACTCCCCCTGACCCCACGTTGCTCCCTGCCTCCACGTTCCTCCCTGTCCCCACAATCAATTCCCTGATATCCTCGACATTTTCGTCACAAAAAATATTACGCTTTCTGCCGATCATATCGTCCTCAAAGCATCTAGGCTCTGATCACCCTCCAGCCCTAATTGAAGTCGGTTGTCCAAACAACACCCCAAACCGAACCACTTCACTAGACTGGCTACATCTTTGCTACTACTACTTACTACTTTTAAATATCGTTTGCCACTTCCTATCGGTACTTTTATTAAGACAACTGACATTAATATTAAGCTAAATTCCGGAAATCGATTCCGATGTAGGGAGAAAGAAAAATCCGATGATGTCGTGGCGTCCGCTGCGGGCCGTCCGTCCGATTCCGATGCGTGGGAGCGAACCTTAATATGAAAATTTCTTATTTACGTGCCGCTACAATTCTTATTACAATTTTAAGTTCAAATACCCTACCATTCGAGTAGGCACTTATCT